GTCCCAGTAAATTTTCGTGCCCATCCAGCATCGTCGCGAGCATTTCCTGTGTAAACCCGAAATTTCCCCCGCAGTGGGAAATTAGCCCTTATAGCCAGTGGCGTGCCGTCAACTAAGCGTGCGTCAATCTCTGGTAAGTGTCAGTTGCAGTTTCCGTGCTGTCGCGGTATTAACCAAACTGTGACTTGCTCCTCCGTCGATAAAGATCTTCACTGCTACCCCTTGTTATTTTTCCGTGAATCAGTATTGGGCAATCTGTCGCTGTACCCTCCTTATTCAGCCGAGCCCGATCGATTGCGTGAATCAGTACTGTGATTCGGTGAGGGTGAGTGACGTCGGGCGAGCAGTGAGTCTCGTCAGTAGTGGGCCCGTACTCTACTAACTTTTGGCGTTTCTTTGCCTCCTAGACTGTCAGAATGAGAGAAGTGATTGAAACTAACAACATTGGGAGTACAAGTAGGAAAACCTAGAATGTTGTACCCCCTAAGGCTAAACCCACTATAGCCTACAGAACAGTAACATATATAATGTTTGACACACCCCCATAGGCTAAGTGGGAGACAACCAGATGGTCACAAGACCAGTCAAAACAAAGAAAAGCAAAGCACAGCTCAGGGTAGATCTCAAGGATACCACACAAATTCCGAGCACAAGCAAGCGGTCACAAGACCAGTTCACATGCAGGTTGATAATACAACAAGAAATACAGTGATCACAACCTAGCAAGTGTAAACATGCAGGTAGACATATATAAAGATCACAGTACAAGCAGAGTCAGGAAGTAAGCAAGTGAGGCACAGTAGGTACAAGGCCTAGAACAGTACAGAAACGCTGATGATCACAAGGCTGAAGCGCCTTGGTGAAGACATCAGCAGTGTTGGCCCGAGTGGCCACGTAAGCGAGACGAAGCTGACCACGCTGCTGCAACTCTCGAGCAAGGAAGTAGCGCAGAGCGATGTGCTTCGTTCTGTGCTCCAGTCTGTGCTCCTGACACAAGGCAATCATGGCCTTGTTGTCGACGTACAGCACTGGAGGAGAACGAGGCAGCTCTCCAAGGTCGGTCAGGAGGTAGGTGAGCCAGCGTAACTCCTGTGCAGCCATGGCCCCTGCGTAGATCTCAGCCTCACAACTGGAGCTAAGAACAGAAGAAGAGCAGGGTAGACCGCCAAGAAACAGAGCCGGAGCCAAGGCTGAAGGTGTAACCCTGTGACGACCGCTGCGTAGCCAAGTCGTCAGCCCAAGAAGCGTCTGCGTGACCAGTGAGGACAACTTGAGCCCGTCCTCCAAGCACGAGCCCCATGCACGACTCAGGAAGTTGGATCACTATCTCCATGCACTGAATAAGCTCAGGGTAGACAATGCCACCACTCTTGAGCTTCGTGAAGATGTCTCGCATCTCATCCAACACGTGCTGCATTGGCTCTCCATCAACAAATTTGATGTCGCGCAATCGCCGCGCGAGTAGCACGATGCCTGTAGCATGTGTTGGTGAGTGCACATCAACGAGTTTCCTCTAAGCCTTGGGTCCACACTCGGGATCACCCAATAGGCCTTTGATATGGTCAAGTTGGCGTCCACCAACCGCTTGGACCATGAGCATGTACGCATCAAATGAGCGCTTTATCTATGCTCCTTTCGAGTCCATGGCCTCTGGCATCTTTTTCTTTCCTTCCACCACATCCAATAACTTGTATTGGGTAAACATGAGCCTCATACGGAAGCTCCAGTGCTCATAATCCTCCCCCATGAATTTCTCAATAGAGAAGACTTTCATAGGATCCACAGATATAGGAGATGGTGTAGTGGAAGAGGGTAGCACAGGGGTAGTTGGTTGGTGAGTTCCCACTCCACCACCAACTACTCTCCCTTGCTCTCCAGCCTCTCCACTCCCAGCCATCTCATCATTAGCACCTTTGGAGTCCGTCTCAGCCATCACAAGGCCTTAGGCACGGTGGAATCTTGAGGAAAACGCTTGGACAGGATTCTGCCAGAAATTTCGCTTTTACGAAAAACGCCGTCACGGTTAGCACACTCCGAATTAAAACGCAATTCGACCATCAATCAAACGATCGCAAGCAGAGCTACAATATCATGGTCTCACTCGTCAAAATTGGTTGAGAATCGATGACGATTCGTCGCTTCAAAGTCGACCACCCGCTCTGATACCACTTGTTGCTTAGGATCCGGTCACTTTGAAGACTTACGAAGAACTCAGATCTCAACAAAACGCAAATCCGCTCGGTAGAATTGCGCGCGCTGGTCTTAGCTACCACTCGAAGTTGAATCAGGTCACAAGGTGGTCTAGGGAGTGAGAACCAACTCAAAACGTATAGCTGTTGCTTTCACTAGAAAGGATGGAGGAAGAACAAAACATTAAGGCATAGAATGAGGAGTTGGGGGTTTCAAGAGAACCTTGTGAGGGAAGGCTCTCCAAATGCTTGGGAAGGATAGTGGGAACCTTCCTAGCATCAAAGATGCAACCCTCATAATGAGGTCCTTGAGGTGTCACATGCAAAATCCAATCCAATTGGATTTTGCCTAGGTGTTGCAACATTTGCAACCCATGCTAGAAACTTTCAGCCACCCCAATCCAAAAGTCAAACTTGCATTCCTAACCACCCAACCAAAGATCCCTTTATAGTCATGTCCCAATAATCGCCCAATTTAGTTAATATCCCAAATCAAGATAGAATTACCAAATCTTGGAAATCTTGGATATTGGGCGATCTTGGTCGGAATAAGGCGATCTTGGTATCGTTGGAAAGCTCTGGATTTCTCCTGCGCAATCAAGCATTTAGACTTGGAGAAAAACACAGAGATGATAAAATCCAACAGCCATGCATAATGAATTATGCTCATGCAAATGACGCAGGCATGAATTGCACAAGCACACAGCAGGACGTTAGGATGACATGCACGCATACTGACGTGCATACAACAATTGGGTCCACCACGCCGGATCTGACGGAGCGGTACTTGACGAACGACAAGCCGTTCGGTGGCGAGAGCACGAGCTGGCTGGTCGCCTTTCTGAAGCTGCACGGGCAAGGCGGAGGCAAGAAGGTTCGGGTGCGAGGCGTGGACGGTGAAGGACGCCCAATCAACCACTTCTACACCATGCACGAGAGGAAGTACCCGGGGCACAAATACGGAAGCACTTACGCCAAGTGCGTGAAGCTGTGCCGCATGTTCACCCACGATTGCGTGGACAATCTCAACAAGCGTCTCGATGACGTGGGGAAGCTGGGGCTGACAAAGCTGTTTCGGGCGGGGAAGTGGGTGAAGATCAAGGCTCAACGGGATCGGAAGTGCCGTGAGTGGCTTCTGGAATGCAGTAAGCATTTCCGCAACAAGCTGGCGGGATTCGACCTCAAGGCCGCAGAGAGGGAGCTCCCAACATTCTGTGCGATAATGGAGATGCACCACGAGCTGGAGAGCTTCAAGCAGGGCCTCACCAACATTTTCGGGAGCGCAGCCCGAAGAAGTAACGCACTGCTCGGGGCAGCGCTGTTTCTGGGTGTTAGTGTGCTGTGCATGTCATAAACGTTTCTTCACGGTGTGTGCTGCTGCGTGATTGTATCTGGCAAGAGATGGCCCAACCTCATCCTTCTGTGGCAGGCGATCGCGGTGCTCCCCTTGTCAACCGTGGAGTGCGAGAGGGGTTTCTCCAGGAAAAACGTCATCAAGTCGTGGGTCCGAGGCGCACTCTACAATGCGCGGCTCGGCGAGCTAATGCAGATCTCGCTCCTCAAGTATGACATCGACTGGCCGGAAGCATTGGAGGTCTGGAGGTCCATGAGGAGGAGGCGCCCAGCGAAGAGCGCAAAGCTGGCTGTGGCAGAGCATGGCTGGAAGGGTAAAGAGAAGGAAGGTGAAGACTGTTAGAGACTAAGGACGAGGTCTAAGAAGATTAGGAGCCGAAATATCTCAAAAATCGTTGGCTTAGAATTCTGGACAGAAACATCGCGCTCACAAGAAACGCCGTCTACGAATATTTCACTGTTGAAACTTCACAAATTTCAGATATGTTGTAGCTCTAGAGCGTAGCTACAATTCCCAAGTTGAATCGTATCACGAGGTGAAGTATAACTCGACTTATCAATTTCGGCGCACAGGGGGGTTTGCTGCCATAGAATCTTAACTCAATCACGAATGTCTCACAAGATCAACACAAGAAAGTTAGAGTTGCTAGAAACCAGGTAGGAGGGAAGAGGAGGACGAGACGAAAGGTCCCAAGAGAGTCCCCAACCAAGGAAACCCCATAAGCACATCAAATCCCCTCCCTATAGCAACCCCACTTTTACTTTTGTCACTTTCCCAACCTCCACAATCCACCTCACCCAAGTTGGCCACACCTGCCAACCCAATTTGGTTTCTCCCAATCACTTGGCAGCATCTACAGTAGAAAAGACGAATTTCCCAACCCCCAAAAGTCTGTACCCCATATTGAGTCAACCCACAAATTCCCAAAGTCACCGCATCACAATCAAAACTTCGAACGAAAATATATTTCTCGTTCTTGCTCCGATCGCGGCGATTCTTGGTTCGTCGGAAAGCTCTTGAGCAGACGAGTCACTTCAGATATCTGCTCAGGCCAGATAACATTCACACACACTCGGAAAATCCAAACCATGCCAAGTGCAAATTCTTGCACACGCTCACACCACGCATGCAACGCACGAACATATGATGGGAGGCAGACAGCCGTGAATGCAAATGATAGCATCACATAACAAACCCCCCCTCTGGCTGCCAACCATCATCCCACATGCCCTAGCTCAAGCACGGACCCTCAATGCACACTCATTCCAACAAGCTTCATGCCCTTCGAGTGCTCAGGTTCAGCCAGGCGCTTGGTGAGAATGTCAGCCGCCTGCTGATGGGACTTCACAATCTCCAGTCGCACCTCCTTGTCCAGGAGCCTCCTCACCCAATATGTGTTGGAGGACGTCAGGATGACATGCACGCATACTGACGTGCATACAACAATTGGGTCCACCATGCCGGATCTGACGGAGCGGTACTTGACGAACGACAAGCCGTTCGGTGGCGAGAGCACGAGCTGGCTGGTCGCCTTTCTGAAGCTGCACGGGCAAGGCGGAGGCAAGAAGGTTCGGGTGCGAGGCGTGGACGGTGAAGGACGCCCAATCAACCACCTCTACACCATGCACGAGAGGAAGTACCCGGGGCACAAATACGGAAGCACTTACGCCAAGTGCGTGAAGCTGTGCCGCATGTTCACCCACGATTGCGTGGACAACCTCAACAAGCGTCTCGATGACGTGGGGAAGCTGGGGCTGACAAAGCTGTTTCGGGCGGGGAAGTGGGTGAAGATCAAGGCTCAACGGGAGCGGAAGTGCCGTGAGTGGCTTCTGGAATGCAGTAAGCATTTCCGCAACAAGCTGACGGGATTCGACCTCAAGGCCGCAGAGAGGGAGCTCCCAACATTCTGTGCGATAATGGAGATGCACCACGAGCTGGAGAGCTTCAAGCAGGGCCTCACCAACATTTTCGGGAGCGCAGCCCGAAGAAGTAACGCACTGCTCGGGACAGCGCTGTTTCTGAGTGTTAGTGTGCTGTGCATGTCATAAACGTTTCCTCACGATGTGTGCTGCTGCGTGATTGTACATGGCAGCAGATGGCCCAACCTCATCCTTCTGTGGCAGGCGATCGCGGTGCTGCCCTTGTCAACCGTGGAGTGCGAGAGGGGTTTCTCCAGGAAAAACGGCATCAAGTCGTGGGTCCGAGGCGCACTCTACAACGCGCGGCTGGGCGAGCTGATGGAGATCTCGCTCCTCAAGTGTGACATTGACTGGCCGGAAGCACTGGAGGTCTGGAGGTCCATGAGGAGGAGGCGCCCAGCGAAGAGCACAAAGCTGGCTGTGGCAGAGCGTGGCTGGAAGGGTAAAGAGAAGGAGGGTGAAGACGAGGTTCTGGAACAGGACCTGGGCGACGATCAAGAGGTCGTGGGGGAGGAGGAGGAGGACAACCCCTTCCTCTCGGACGATGAGGATGTGGAGGAGGTGTTCCACATTGACAAGCCGGTGCACTAGATAGTGTAGGAAACTTCCAGCATGCTGTATACCGCAGTGAAAAGCATAGTGCAATCTTTTAAGCAACACTAAATTCTTGTTGTGAACCCTGACGCATCAGAGTGAGACTTTGTTGGACACTGAGAAATCAGAGTAGCAGATCTCTGGAAAATGTGCACCCATAATACAGGGGGAAATTTTGTCCTGGAATTAGGGAGGCCTAATATGAAACGTCAGCCCTGGCATGAGGGCGTTGAAGCCATCGGCAGCAGTTGAAATGAGCATGCCCGGAATGCGTAGCTCCTTAATGTCCGCCTGTCCCTGTTATGTGTACGGGAGGGAAAGGAGGGGAGCGGAGAGAGGTGTCGAATAGAGATATACCAAGCAGCACTAGTGGATATCAGCATGCCTGGGATGTGCGGATGACAGTGTAGCTCCTTTATGTCCGTCTGACCCTGCATTTGGTGGCAGAGGGGGGTGGGAGAGGTCGACGAAGGGGAAGGAGGGGAGCGGAATAGGGTGTTGAACAGAGAAGACCAAGAAGTAATGTAGTTAAAGCAGCAACAATGGAAATCAGAATCCCGTGATGTGCCGATGCCAGTGTAGCTCCTTGGTGTTTGTCTGACCCAGCAGTGGGTGGCCGAGGGGGGTGGGAGAGGGGTAAGAAGAGGAGCAAAAGGAGTTCATTGAAGGAGACAGAGGAGGAAACTGGTTGCAGCAGCAGGTGCGGGTAGCAGTTTTGAATGAATGGTGCCTCTACAGCACACCTGTTCCCAACAAGTGTCGTTTGTTGAACTCCTTGGGAAGAGAAAGTGATGCACATTGCAAAGGCAAAGTGAAAGCGATAAACGATGCCAAGACGCGGCAGCAAGAGCTAGAGATGCTAGCAATGCCTACCTAAAGATGCGGAAAAGCAGAGAGGTGGAGAAAGATCAGCGATGGCCAGGAGGTGAGTGAGTGCATGGTGCTTGCTACCACAAACCACAGCATGGCCGAATGGTGCTCGCGTGGATGGGTGGTGATCAACAGAGAGGTGAGGCGGCGCTTATGCGAAAATAAAACATGATGGTTGGGCGAGGGTAAAGGAGTTCGGGTGAAAGTGCGCAAGGGAGAGCATGCCTGCTGCACAAAGAGCAACTGGGGAGGCAATCTCTCTATACACGATGTTATATGCACCTCAGAATTTAGAAAGCGTGGGTGACAGAGTGGAAGCAAGAGAGCATGCCTGGTGCACGAAGAGCAGCTGGGGAGGCAGGTCTGATGGCGCCTCTACCTGCGGCTTCTTCTGCCCTGCTTCAAACTCCGCCTCTTCCTCTGCATCTCGCTCCAATGATGGGTTCCGCACATGGTGGCGGGTTAAGGAAAGCAGTTAACGAGGTAGGGGGAGGAAATAATGGAGGGGAGGGGTAATGGGGGTAGGGAGGGTAGGGATGAGGAGAACGAAAGGGAGGGAGTGGCATTTGCTGGTGACCTCAACTCCCACCACCACCACTCCCCCCACTACCACTCCCCCCAACTACCACTCCCCCCACCACCACTCCCACTACTGTCAGAATCCCAACCACTAGACCATTGGGATACAAGGGCTTGTTAAGTAGCGGGTTTGTGCGCCCATAACCCCCCCAGTAACCCTTCCTTAGGATCAATCAGGGATCACCAGTGGACCTCTGACAACCACCACTACTCCCACCACCACTCCCACCACCATTCCCACCACCACTCCCACACGAGTTACGTGATCTGGTTGTCAGCGCAGGAGGTAGCGAGCGTGGAGCTCTCAGCGCGCTCCACTCGATGGACATGATGGGCTGGCGGTGGTGGTTGAAGTGCGCTATGAACGCGCTCCTTCCCCACTGCAACCTCTCACCACCACTCACGTGATCTGGTTATCCACGCAGGAGGTAGCAAGAGTGGAGCTCTCATGCGCGCTCCACTCGATGGACATGATGGGCTGGCGGTGGTGGTTGAAGTGCGCTATGAACGCGCTCCTTCCCCACTGCACCCTCCCACCACCACTCACGTGATCTGGTTGTCCGCGCAGAAGGTAGCAAGAGTGGAGCTCTCATGGGAGCTCCACTCAATGGACGTGACAACTGGCGGTGGTGGTTGAAGTGCGCTATGAACAAGCACATGCTGGGAGCGAGTGGCACTTGCTGGTGACCCCAACCCCCACCAACCACTCCGACACCACTTACGTGATCCAGTTGTCGGCACAGGAGGAAGCGAGCGTGGAGCTCTCATGCGGGCTCCACTCAATGGACGTGATTGGCTGGGGACAAAGCACAGGCTGGGAGCGGGTGGCACTTGCTGATGACCCCAACTCCCCCCACCACCGCTCCCACCACCACTTCCACCACCACTCCCACCACCACTGCCACCACTCCCACACCACTTACATGATCTGGTTGTGAGCGCAGGAGGTAGCGAGCGTGGAGCTCTCATGCGGGCTCCACTCGATGGACGTGATTGGCTGGCGGTGGTCGTTGAAGTGCGCTATGAACGCGCCCCTTCCCCACTGCACCCTCCCACCACCACTCACGTGATCTAGTTGTCGGCACAGGAGGTAGCCAGTGTGGAGCTCTCATGCGGGCTCCACTCAATGGACGTGATGGGCTGGCGGTGGTGGTTGAAGTGCGCTATGAAGGCGCCGCCCTCCTTGCCCGCCCTGCCTCCCGCAGCAAGCGCAGATTCCAGATGCGGAAGGAGCCGTCATCACACCCCGATACCACCATGCAGCTTGCCAGTCTGGGACGTGGGGAGAGAGGGGGCACAGGGGGAGACGGAGAGGAGGGGGGCAAAATGCGCGAGCAAGGGCGGTGAGAGGGGCGCAGGTCCCAGATGCGGAAGGACCCGTCGTCACACCCCAATGCCACGATGCAGCTCGCGAATCCGAGAAAAGGGGAGAGAGGAGGAGGGCGCGGAGCGGTGGAGTAGGGGGACAGGGAAAGGAAGGGGTGGAGGCGGGAAGTGCAGAATGTGCATGTAAGGATACGGAAGGGAGTGGGTGGGAAGGAGTCAACAATGACAGGAGCGAGTTTTGAGATGCCTCAAAACTTGGGGAGTGTGTGGGAAGGAGTCAACGACGGCGGGAGCGAGCAAAGAGGGTTGGTGGAGAGAGGAGGAGTGGGGAAGTGAGGACCCGGAAGAAGGGGTTGAATGTTAAGCAGTGCAGTGCAGAGCAGAGCAGAGCAGAGCAGAGCGGGGCAGAGTTGAGCAGATCAGAGCAGGGCAGAGCAGAGCAGAGCAGAGTAGGGCAGAGCAGAGTAGGGCAGAGCAGAGTAGGGCAGAGCAGAGTAGGGCAGAGCACATCGGAGCATACCTGTTCCTGTAATTGACATTAATATCGGCGTCATTCGCCTTGACTCGCAGCGCAGTGGAGGAGAATGAAGATCGAAGATTAGGCAGCGCAGAGCACAGTGGAGCACATCACATTGCCCCCCTGTTCCAGGAGATGACATTGACATCGGCGTCATGAGCCTTGACTCGCAGCGCAGGGGCGGTGCGGGTAGGAGGGGAATGAAGATAGAAGATGAGGCTGAGCAGAGCAGGACATCACAGCACAGCACTGCGAAGCTCACCTGTTCCAGGAGATGACAATAACATCGGCGTCATGCGCCTAGACTCGCAGCGCGGGCGCAGTGTGCGAGGCGCACGTCCCAAAAGCACATCGTGCCGTCCACCCCGCTGGATGCAAACACCTCGAGCTCCGTGGCTCCAGTAGTGGTGGTGGTGTGGTGGGTGAGGGGGGGGTGGGGGGGAGAGAGCGGAGGGAGGAAGGAAGAGAGGAAAAGGAGATGACATTTGAGTCCAATTGAAAGCCACCCCGTTGGATGCAAACACTTCGGGCTCCACTGGAGGTGGTGTTGTGGAGGGGGGAGCAGGGAGGGGATGGAGGAGAGGGGAGGTGGAGGGTAGGTAGGTGGGTTACACCCCGTCGTCTCAGTCGCGGCGTCTGGAGAGGGTAGAGGAGGAGCCACAGCAACAGCAGGAGAGAGTAGAGGAGGAGTCACAGCCGCAGCACGAGAGGGTAGAGCAGGAGTCCCGGCAACAGCAGGAGGTGCAGCTGCAGCCGCAGCGGGAGAGGGCAGAGGAGGAGCCACAGGAGCAGCAGCAGGGGCAGGTGCCGTCGCAGTAGACGCCAGAGGAGGCGGAGCAGCGGCGACTGCGCGACCTGCCCGACCCAGCACCTTCATGCTTTGTTCGTGGTCCCCTACCGTCCCCTCCTGTTCCCCCTGTCCAGTCCCTTTCCTCGTCCCCGTGGGCTCGTCGTGCTCCTCTCAGTCGTGCTGTGTCTCCAGAGCCCCGTCGGTCCTGTTACCGTGCAGACGGCCCGTTTCACCTTGTTCCCCACTCTCGTGTTCCACCTCCCCTGGTCCTTCCACAGCCTCCCGCGTCCGACTACCTCCGTGCCTCCCGTCCTGTCGTCTCCCGTGTTCTGTCCGCGTTGGTCACTCACCCGAGTGCTCCCCCCGTTGTCTGTCTCGGCTCTTGTTACCACTTTCACTGGTTATGCCTCTTCCCACCGCCTTGACTACGCCGCTCACTCGGTGAGTGGCCCTGCTCGTTCTCCGTCCTCTAGGGGTGCTCCTCTTTTTCCAGGAGGTCCTCGAGGATAGGCAGTTCGAGCATGGTTTCCTGGCGGCCGCTGTTCCTTATCTCTGTGCCATGCTGCTTGCCCCTGAGGGGGATCCAGACGCCCTTGACATCCCGATTCCTCGCACTCACGCCGAGGCGGTCTCGGGACCCTGGGCTTCGTTCGGGATAGCAGCGGAGGAGGCAGAGATGGCATTTTATAGGTTGACAGGCACCTACGTTGACGCCGTCCCACCACCTGGGACGAACGCCTTCCCACCACCTAAGACGAACGCCGTCAGTGGCATGTGGCTCTACCATGTGAAGCGGCCGCCTGGATCACCACCGGTGTTCAAGGTGCTCTATGTGGCGAGAGGCTTCATTCAGCGCAAGGGGGTAGACTTCTTTCAGACCTTTGCTCTCACCTTGAAGATGACCACTCTACGGGTGTTGCTGCATATCGCAGCTTAGCGCGACTACGAGTTACACTCCTTAGACTTCTCCACAGCGTTCCTTCTGTTGGTGCAACCCTACGGTTTGCACTCGGCTTGTTGTCCGTATGCGTGCATGCGTGTGTGCATGGAATGGCATTAGGGCATGGGATAATATATATTTTATGCTTATAATAGTGTGTGAGTGTTGAGTCGTCATGTCGAGTGTGTGTGTGTCGTGTCAATAGCGAGTTATCGCTAGTCGCGTGTTACGCGATCATTTTGTGTGTCCCGCGCGGTTCTATTTTGTCGTGCGCGGTTTCTATTTTGTCGCTTGTCGAACGTTCGGCGTGTCGCAGGTGTGTGCAGCAGACCCATCAGGAACTCGAGGATGAGTTTGTGATGAAGAACCCGAGCCTTGGTTGCAAGCTTCAAGTGATTTCGAAGCTCGCCAAAAGGGTACACCTCAAGATATTGAAGATAGTTACATTACTTTGTGTAGTGTAACATTTCAGTTGGTGTAGGCCCTTGTGAAGGGTAGTTTCGAGACCCTTCTTGGTTGGGGACAGTGTGGCACTGTTCCACATCACTGTACCTCGGCTCTTGGGGTTTGTAGGAGCTGGGAGTCATTCCCAACTCGTAACTCTTCCTAATTCTTTCTATCTTGTGTTCTAAGACTATGTTGCTGCCATAGTGCCGTTCGTTCAAACCGACGCTGTGTCGTCAATCCATGATGAAATCGTGCGATCTAAATTGCCAATTGTAGGCAACGTTAAGGCGCTCCAGATCCAAATTGAATGAAGTCATTTGGAGTTGTGAGCAGATCGCTATGAACGTTTAAAGCCGCTGTGCAGAAATCCGACTGTGCACTCTATCCTTCGTTTTAGGCACATTGAAGCCTACTGTGACTATAACAAGTGGTATCAGAGCCCCTTGAAGCAGCTACGACTATGGCTGGACCTGAAGAAAGGGGTGGCAGAGGTGCTGGTGGCAATGGAGATGCCCAAGCACAAGGCCAAGCCCGTGAGTCAGCCGTGGCGCCCGTGCAACCGACTCTTGGACCTTCTAGGGACGAACCAAGAGTGTTCGGGCTTGACAAGTTCAACGGCGACAACTTTGCTGAATGGTCCTTCAGAATGGAGAATGTATTTGATCACTATGATCTGCTGGAGGTGATGGAAGGAACGGAGAAGCGTCCCGAGAACGACCCGGAGAAGAGCCCGTGGGTGCGGAAGAGCGCACAAGGCTACCTCCTACTTGGGCAAGCATTGGGGAGCAGCCAGATCCGTCACATCAAGCCATTCCAGCATGAACCAGAGAAGGGACCAAAGGCATGGGCTGCTCTCAAGGGTGTACACGCTCCTGCAACAGCGGCGGTAGCTGTGGTGTTGGAACGGCAAATGGCGACGTTACGAATTGAAGAGGATGAAGCGGTTGAAGAAGGTGTGCAGAAATTCTTCGACTTGTTGACGCGGCTTGAGGGAGCTGATTTGAACTATAGTGAGCTCCAAAAGAAGACCAAGTTGCTGGCCCTACTTCCCGAGTCATGGTCCTCCCTCATCATCAACCTGAATCGTGACTTGCCCCGCCTCTCGCTTGAAGACGTGAAGCGAGCTATCCTTCAAGAGGATTTCCGCCGCCGTGAGTTGGCGAGTGCGGATGGCGCTGGGGCAGCGAGCATCGGCCGTGGATATGGTCGAGGAAGAGGCAGAGGACGAGGGGGAGGAAGATCTGGTGGCGGCAACTTCAGTGGAGGCCGCGGGAGTGGCGGTTACGGCAACGACGACAAGAGCTACGGGCGCGGTCGCGGCCGATTCGACGGCGAATGCCATTTTTGCCACAAGAGCGGACATATGTGGCGCGATTGCTACAAGCTCCCTGATGGTTGGACCCCTGCTCAAGGCCAGGAGGGTAGAGGAGCAGGAGGAGGGAGAGGAAGAGACCGTGGAGGCCGTGGCGGTCGCGGTGGCGGAGCTGCAAACATGAAGAGCGGAGACAACGACAAGGACCCGAGCGACGATCGGTACCCGGGTCTATTCTACTTCGTGTCGACGCAAGTACCGGCTGGTCCAGAGAAGGATGAAGGCTTTGAGGAGCCAGCAGCTGTGGGGAAGGTGACCCTACACCCCCTGGACTATTGGGTGATCAATAGTGGCGCTACCTATAGCATGACACCTCGCCCGGACTTGCTCACCGAACTCGAGCCCTCACCGGTGAAGCATGTTACATCGGCTTTGGGGCAGCGAGCAGAGGTGAAAGGCATGGGCAAGGCCATGTTCAAGGGTGCTGATGGGAAGATGGTGGGCCTCAAGAACGTGCTTTGGGTGCCCAGCCTTGCTGCAAACCTGATTTCCGTGCGGCGGTTGGCAAAGGCCGGCATGGACACGAACTCGAAGGGAGCCAAGACCTATACCGCGAGGATTGGTGACCGGATTCTTT